CCTCCTGCACTGAAACAAACGTACGGGATGGACATAGGCTCTCAGGAGGAGGGTTGGTTGCAATGCCTGCACCCTAGGCCAAAGTGGAGGTGGAAAGATAGAGTCACGATTATGCCGTGGTCTCGCTGCATGGGTGGTTCTGACATGGCGTCAGCTGGGAGGAGCTTTGTCGGTTGTCACGGGCCAAAAATTCTCCAGCAAGATGCGATCCTGCAGTTCTGTTTGCTGAAGTGCCAGCGGGTGAGTGATTCCATGGGCTGGTGGTGGATTTGAAGCCCAGCCCTGCACTGCGAATAACAATCTCGTGGGCATGAATGTTGCCTTGCTCTATGCCTTACTATCATAAACATGGCCCTTGCTCTATGCACTGACCCCTCTCATCTTGCAGCGAGTCCTGTATCCCGATATAGAGACTTGATGTCTGGTAGAGTTCCTCCCAACATCCATCTGGTATGTGGCACTGTCTGGGAACTACTTCAAGTTGAGCTTTTGTGCGTGGAGAGCCGCAGCTGTTAAATGACGGGGGTGTGCAGTGGAGCCGGGAGCAAAGCTTTTGCAGCCTTCTGTCTCAGAAAGCCGTCATATGTCATCGCCTGAGACGGCAGCCGTGCCAACGTATATCAGTGCCGTAGAGATGCCTGGCGTGCTGCAGACAGTATCTGAATAGCATGAGGGTTAGGAGCTCCCAATTCCCCGTGCACCCAGATGTCAGGCCTGTTCCCATAGCGCCCGGAGCGCTCTGTCGGCAGGAGGGAGCTTGAGCGGGTGAACCATGAATGGTCAACAAATTCTGCAAAGCAGGCTAGGAAAATCAGAAGCGGAGAGTCATCAAAACAAAAAAACGAGGTCGTATGAAAAGCAACGGCGCATCAAGCCTTATTTTTAGGCACCTACTGGAAGGTACTGGAAGGACCCTTGAAAACCATTCGCGACCAAGGCGACTGCAAGCAAACAGTAGTAGTTTCCATTTTCTTTTCCACTATCCCTATATAACCACTATATATACCCTATAATCCCTGTATAACCTCTATATTTCCACTATATATGGAGCATCCTACAGCCTTGGCAAAGAGTCGAAATACTGGAGTTCCCCTGAGCATGGAATTCACCCATATCATAACAAGATCCCCATATACCCCATATTCTATCTACTTTAGGGGGACTATAATCCTAAACCCTAAACCCTAAATAGTAGTTGCCAATTTCTTTTCCATTATTCCTATATTACCCTATATTCTATCTACTTAAAGAGGACTACCACCACAAGGCCACACCCATTTTCCCAAGACTTGTACCTGCGGGATCCGGGCAGCATGAAGCTGCAAACGGCTTGCAGAGTGTAGGAGCACGTGTGCGGGCCTGTCTGCCTTGGGTCATGTAGGGTTTGGGGACTAAACACTTGGAATAGTAGAGGTAAACTAGATGATGAAATTGACTGCATTCATATCTCTGTTTTGGCCCTTGTGGCCACCATTTGTCACCATCATCGTCAGCTTTCAATTTCTCTTTGTCGGATGGATGCCATGCGAATATGTCAGAAACGTTCTTGCCCACTTTGCGTCAGTGATTTAGAGGCAACCGCGTAGGTTGCGGCAGCGGCCCTCGTGCTGTCGTGGCGCCCTGGTGGCGTTGCACTTTGTACACAAAGACTGCCCACCAGATGGTGAACATACTTTTGGCTGCTACAGCTTGTCTGTTGGACAACAGCCGCAGTAAATCGGGTCACTGCGACCCAGCTGTCTCGAATTTAGTCGCAGCAGTTCTCATGTGGAACTTTAAACGGGTTGGATTCACATGTCCGTGTGTTGGCCAGCAGGGATCAATATAGCAAGACGGGAGTTTTTTGAAAGGCTTGTAATTGCCTGCCTGTGAGGCACAAGACGGAATCCGAACTCGCTACCTTAGGTAGAGAGATGTGGTGGTTTCCAAGAATGGGGCCCTTCCCCTCACCATACCCTGAAATACTGAAACTGTCCTATTGCTACTTACATGGGTACGTCCCAAACGGGACCTCAATTTTCTTGGAAACCGCCGCATGGCCGTCGCCAGTTCAGCGACTTGGCCACATCAAGCGAATAGTCCTGGACGTCTCAAAATTCTCAGGAACTGCATGGGAGGTTACATAAGGTGACATGGTGCAGTCCCTTTGAGCAGAAGGTGCTGGCTGTTTTAAACGCTGCCGAAAGTCTGCATGTGGAGCACGTCCAGGAAGCATTTCTCGGGAAGCTCACGGTTTTTACGATGACTGGGGGCACCACTTTGGCAATTCTCCTGGACTTGATGTAGGACTTGATGCTTGAGCTACCCCCCCCTAAACCCAAACCCTAAACCCTAAATCCCTAAACCCTATGAAAGCTTCTCTTCCCCAAAGCTGATGTTCTCAGGGAAGGTCCTGCAGCATCGCAAACCTCACCCACCTTCTGCGACCAGAAGGGGGTTCAGGGTCATATAGGGTTTAGGATCCTTAAAGGATTGCCTTGGGTCCTCCCCCCACCCGTTAGCAGCCTATAATGTACGTCAAAGAAGGGCTCTAGAAATTACATCCAAGTGTTATTGAGTGGGGGCACTATCCAAGTTAAATAAGGATTACGTAAAGATAACATGGCAGCTGCAGTTTAGGGCTTTGGGTGATAAAGGGGTTATATAGGAATAACATGCAAACAGTTGTTTAGGGCTTCGGGTTATACAGGGATGATATACGAATAATATCAGATAATGGAAAAAGAACATGGACACTACTCTGTAGGGTTTAGATTTCATTGGGGTTTTATATAGGAGTTTCTGGAAAAACCTTGCATCTGCCTAACTACGTCATGCTACGTCTGCAAAACAATGATGGGAAAGAGGTGAGCTGCGCTGCGCTGAGGAAGATCTTCCGCGGACATTAGAACAGTAGCTGCGCTCAAACAACTGGGTTGCTGTTAAGGAACGTAAATTAAGTTACCACAATGGGTATATATAGTAAATAATAGGGTTTCCCCAATATAGTAACTTAATTTAAGTTCCTTAACAGCAACCCAGACAAACATCTCTCGAAAATTCCGGTCACCGTGTATGGCACCCAAAATGCCTTGGAGAGGGTGTTTCTGGGCTAGCTCCATCGAACCCCCTTTACTCTCCAATTTTTTTTTGGGAACTCAGAATTTCGAGAAATACCCAACACTAGCACACCCCTTTAGGGTGGCAATTCGAAGTCAGCTGCAAACTCACGCGTTTGGTATCGGATCCTGTCTTGGGGCCCGGGGCCGTGATTTTGATCTCCACTTGCTAGGCAACATACGAGATGGTTTCTGAACCGTAAGACCCTTCTTGAGGACTTTAACGCCTCCGGGTTGATAACAGCCGCCGTAGCTATCAAAGACATGTAGCAGCAATCCTACTCGAAGCACATAAGGATGACAGAAATCAGCCACACTGTCATGCTCTAGCACTCATGTTTTGACCTTCTGATCTGCTGGTGGTGCCCCACACTTCTGTGGGTATATTGCGGGTCTTTATCTTCTGCAGTAAATGTGATTTTCGCAGCTGGCCGCCAAAAGCACTGCACGCCTCTTCAAACAAAGCTCTGCTCATAGTTGCCGTCTGGTACCGGCAAGCCTCTTGCCTGTCACAATTCACTGCTAGGTATGACACCAAAAGAACATGCCTAAGGCCTAGGGGCATGCGGCGGGGATTCAATCCCTTCACTAGGGTTCATTACCATAAGCCCACTTTGCCAAGTACCTTGCGCGGCTGGGCCTGATGTGGATGTAGGTGGCCCCACCTCACCCTGCAAACAGGTGCACTGTAGCAGCTGAGTTGTGCGCGTATTCATGCTTATTCCCTACGCCCATGTAGGACACAGAAGTTGCAGCAATCTCTGGCAACGACTCTCATGCGCAAAGGCCACCAAAATGCTGTTTCTGATGCACGCATATTCGCATTAGCTCCGCAGTTCGTGGCAGCATCTTCCACGGCCGGCTCAGCAATTTGCCCTGCAAACAAGGCTCACACCGATTGTCATCATAGTCGGAACAGTACCTCCACATAACAACACCATAGTAAACGCTGCTCTTGCTGTTCTGCTCGCGCCAACAAGCAGAACGTGGAGAAGCTGAGGTTTCTTGTGCACATATTCAATCTTGGAGCTGCAGCAAGCAACCGTTCATTTACATCATTTCTTTAGATCATGTCCCCTTTGTTTAGGCATGTTACAATGCAGATTCTGAGTGGAACTTTCTGATCAGCGGTCATTGTGCCCACCAGTCTTTCCACAGCCACTCCCTTGTTGTGACTGCCACTACAACTGCTAACTGCTACAACAACAGCAGTAACAACAACGACAGCAGCCGCACCACCTGCTGCTGCTGCCGCCGCTGCTACAACTAGTGACAACGACAGTTCATGCTACTACCATCAGTGCTCCTGCTCAAGATAACATTGCTACGAACGCTGCTGATGCGAACGGAGCTGCTGCTGCTGCTGCTTCTGCCGCTCCGCAGCACCCTGGCAAAAGAGACCCTGCCACCGTTGCACACTTCAGGCTCCATGCAGCCATGGTGCCAGCTACCCCAGTGTTGTGACACAGGCGGGACGGGCCCTAAGGTCTTGGTTTTTGTACTTTTGTTAGGGCTAGCCTTGGTGAACTTTCAGCAAAGCCCCTAAGGGTGCCCTGCTTGTTACATCATAACGGCGGTGTGTTGTGGTTGCAGCCGCTCCAGGCCTTTTCATTTCGGGTCAAACATTAAGCTCAGCGATGCGAAGGCCGCATCTGCTGTGGGAGGATGGCTATTGATCACAAATACCCGATAATCCTTATATAACCCATTATAATAGTTTCCATCTTATTTTCCATTATCCCCATATAACCCCACTATGCTACATAATAGAGTATTCTCGTGGTGTCGTCGCTCCGGGTGGTCTACTGCGGTAAGTACATTAGGATAGATAGTGCCACTGAAAGGTGAAGGAAAGCACCTCCCCACAGCTATGGTACAGTCATGTACAGTTGCCCGTCTGGCTCATTGCTGGCTCGGCGGCAAGGAGTAGCTGGTTGTGTACGCCGTTGGTACCTGGGAAAGGTTTCTTCAAGCGATTCTTTTGCCCCTGAAGTGCGAAGTGGACATGCCTCATGATCCCGTCCCTTTTTACCACCACGGATCAGAATCCCTTAGTCACCAAAAGCACACAGACTTCACAAACCTTTCGCATGCGGTTGCAGCCAAGCCGCTGTAACTACTGGCGCTGGTCCCGAAGCGGGTGCAATGTGGACAGAGCCACTAGGCGCAAACTGAGCGGGGAGAGTTGTGGTGTAGACGCGTGAACCTGGGCACCACGAAGACGTGCTGCGGCAGCTGAATGCCAGAAAATTGAAATTTGTGCTTGCAACTCACACCTGCCTGGACTGGCCACGGCCGCAGATGGGTACGAAGGCAGCTGGGTCGTGAAAGCTGCTTGTGGCGACGCTGGTGCTAAGTAGGGCGTCGCCAGGTACTGTCCTGGTCGTCACACGGCTCGAAAACATGAGATGTGAGGCTCTTTTACCATATCGGGGTTCTGTAAAGATAATGGAAAATGAAATGGAAACTACTGCAATGGGGTTATATAGGGGATAATGGAAATTAAAATGGAAACTACTACGAAAGGGTGTTATGTAGGGATGATTGAAAATAAAATGGAAACTACTACAATGGGATTGTATGGGCTGGAAGTTGCACCCTAACATACCATAATATTACTATAATATTCCTTAAACCCCTTAACCCCAATCCCTAAATAGTAGATTCCATTTTCTTTTCCATTATCCCTATATAACTCCCCTATATCCCCTAAAACTCCCATGTAACCTAAACCCTAAACCCTATGAGCTTCAAGTTGGACCCATCGCGTCCTGAGGTTGATAGTGCAGATGCAGAGGTTTGCATTGGCAGCGATGCAGACTGGCCCTCAGCTGCGCTGAGCTGCATACATGAGGATAATGGAAAAGAAAATGGAAACTACTATTTAGGGTTATATAGGGGTTCTATAGGGATAATGGAAAAGAAAATGGAAACTACTATTTAGGGTTTAGGGTTTAGGATTACATAGTCCCCCTTAAGTAGATAGAATATGGGTATATGACGATCTTAGTATAATATACCCAAGGCTATATTCTATCTACTTCAGGGGGACTCTTGATGTAGAGCAGTCTAGGGAAAGCTTCTACACAAAATGATGTTCTCCGTCTTTCCATAGGGGCAGTTACTTGAGAAAGTGACTGAGGGACAAGGTGCACAGCTGAGGTCCCTAGGAATGATCCTATCCTACGTTCTTTGGAAGCAGCCCTAAACCCCAAATAGCAGTTCCCTATATAACCCCTATAGAATAACTGTACATCCATAAACCCCACTCATTCCTAAATAGCCTCTATAGTATCCCCATATGCCCGTTATAGTAGTCCCTATACATCCATAGCCCTACTTGGAGGTCCGTTGTAGATAGCTACAGTTACCCTAGATAGAATTGAGTTATAACTACAGTTGCTAAGTAAGTTATAAGTACGATGGACCTCCAAGTACCCTCATGACAAGTGGCGGACTGTGGCAGCTGAAGGTTCAAGTTCGGCATGGGAAGGTGCGGCTCATCCAAGCCCGGGATCTTGATTGAAGCTCCTAGGAATAGGGTTTAGGGGTTTAGGGTTTAGGGGTTTAGGGTTGTGGAAGAGAAAATGGAAGCGACTATTGAGGGTTTAGGGACTTTAGGGATTCTATAGGGGTTATATAGGAACAATGGAAAAGAAAACCGAAGCTACTGTTTAGTTAGGGGTTTGCTTGAAGCTCCTGAATATGGGGATTATGAATGTAGCGGGTTCTATAGGGGTTCTTTCGGAATAGTGGAAAAGACAACCGAAACTACAGTATTGGGTATTGGTTTTAGGGATATGTCTCCAAAAACGGAGAATGACATGGAAAAGCTAATAAAATTTGAAATGGACACTGGGAGATGAGGGTCCCTATTTGAAGGATTATTATAGTCTGGGGTCTACATGGGAACCCCCTTTAAGGAGTTTAGACTAATTATAGCTCAAATAGTTCCCTTCAAGGCGTTTTCAATGTAGTTCAGATCAGACAGGCCAAGTCTCCATGAAGCAGTGCCCAAAGGGAACACTCAAGTTTAGTTAGCCCTCTATCAGGTACCAACCCTAAACCCTAAACCGTAGATTACGCAAAAGTTTTGCAAGACAAGCCTGATTAGGAGGGTACCGGGTGCCAAAGGCATAGAATGGAGTGCATAATCCCTGTAGTTTCCATTTTCTTTTCCATTATCCCCATATAACCCCAATATAAAACCATATAACCACACTATAGTAGTTTCCATTTTATTTTTCATTATTCCATTATAACCCCAAGGAGTACAGTATGGTATGTCTACGGCTGCAAGTCGAAAGCAGCAGTCGTCTTCTTGACAGGAGATGCAAGGCTGTTCCTGAGAACATCGCTGACACGGACCCCGCAACTTCCTTTGAAGTATCGCAGCATGGCATTTTCAAGATGTGGGACTATCCAGGAGTCCATCCAAAAAAGCTAAGGGGTATAAGTAACATGCCATGTGGTTACGGTCCTTTTGATAAGAGCCATAATCTGAACTCCTAGCATCCCCCTATATAATCCTCCTTCAAGGAGTTTAAACTATAGTTCACAAGGAACTCTAAAGCAATTTTTGAGAAGCACCTTCTTGCATCTGACGTCTGCTCACAAGAATCATGGTATGAAATCACAAAGGAACCACTAAGTGCGGAAATATGGGAATTCAGTAAACTAAGGCCAGGCAGGATTTTCAAGCCCCAATACGATCCCAGTTTCCATCTAATTTTCATTGCTTCGCCATCATCGGCAATGATTCCGGACCCTAAGCCCTAAAATCCGACATACGTATACACTACACCCCTAATCACGAAACCCCTAAGAGTGACTGAGAGGCCCTACAAACACCCAGGCCTGTGGATGCGAGACGGTCTGGCATCTCTGAACGCATCATCGGAGGATCAGGAGGTGGGGCCTTTGAGTTCAGATGAGGATAGGGTTCAGGTTTGGGCTTAGGGGTCAGGGTTTAAGGCTTCGGGTGTAGCGGAATGGGGTAGGTTGGGAACTGCCCCCACTCGGTAACAGTCTACACTAGGGGTCATATTAAGGGCTGTATATATCTATGCAGTGGAAAGTCTCCAACTGTTATCGGGTGGGCGCAGTACCAAAAGGATAGGGTTTAGAGATAAAAATAGTTAACAAATCATAGAGAACCAGATGGAAAAGGTCATGGAACATGACGTGGAAATGGGACTATGTTAGGGTTTACGGCGTTAGGGTTGAGGCCGTTTTGGTGCCTTAGAAAAGTAGGTTAATAACCCCTATAACCCATACAGCAAACCCACTTGTGCCCATTATTAACCTACTTACTAAGTTCCCCTGACCCTCAGAGTGAGGGTTGGCAGGGTTTCGAGGACCCTAGTAAGAAGCAGGGATTCTTGGGAGGCCCCCAAGCAATCTGGAGAATTAGGAGCAGAATTATGACTTCTAGAGCAGGCGATATGGTATGGATCAGGCATGCGATCGTCATTCGTCATCAGGGTTCAGGGTTTAGGATGGTTTAGGGCTACTTGGAGGGTCAGGGGGACTGAGTAAGTAGGTGGTTAAAACCCTCTATAACCCATATGGTAAACCCACGTATCCCCATTATTAACCTACTTACTAAGTCTCTCTGGGCTAGGGTTTAGGGAAGGTGGCCTTCACTCCGGACATGGTGTTTAGGGTTTAGGAGTTCATGTTCCCCAAAGATCAAAACTCACCACGAGACGCATCTGCAGAAGTGGACCCACCCATGCCTGAAAACCCAGAGCTAAGTTTTTGGGATTGAAAGTTTAGGGTTAAGGGCACTGCGCTGAGTGAAGCCATGTGCATAGCCAAGTATTACCTCTCCCCTCCCCCTGATATAAAACCACTCACCCCCCCTAATATGAAATAGGCCCAATGCGTTCTGATATACCACGAATGGGAGTATGTACTTTTGGGGAAGTTGAACATCAGGGGGAGGGGATTACCAATGAGCCTGCAAGGAGTCCCGCCTCGTAAGACATGCCCGTGCGCATTGGAGGACCATAGTCAGGGCCTGGGCCATAACCGCCCGCCATCTCCGGGTCCTGCCAATACATAATAGCATACCAGACTACACTATACTGCGCTACATGTATAGTATAGCATGGGGGATGCAGATTACGAACTCGAGGTCTTGAGTTCGTCCTGGTAGCTGGGCCCGGGCTGCTGTGGAGGGCGGTCCTCGAACGGCGGCATCTCCTGACGCACAGGACCCCGGGCTTTGGACATCTCTGGGGGTGGTGAAACATTAGGGACTCAAACAGGGACCATAATTTTGCGGACCGACCATGTGGGGCTTTCCAGTTTTGAGCAGCTCCGTAGCAATACGCGCAGAAATTCTTGTTGGAGATACGGCAGCTTAAGTCTCAAGGACACATTCCTGTAGTAATATCCTAAACCCTAAACCCATGCGGAACAGCCTTCCACCTGAGGTGTGCAAGCGGAATCGCGGGACCCCATTCCAGAAGTGCAAGGGATGTACTGTATCGTCTGCTGGCCATCTAGGCGCATGTACTATGCAATCAAACATATTTAACATACGCAGTATCTGCAGTAAATGTGCACATAGGCATACACATCTATCTATCTGTGCGCGTGTATGTATGTATGTATGTATGTATATGTAAACTGGCAAGCCACTTCCTGATCTTCATCATCATCGCCCAACTCTTCCTGCAATGGACCAGCAATCCAGAGTTGCAGTTTTTCTTGTCTGGAAATCCACGTATAATATACACATGCTCGGCTGCGAAAACATGATCTGTAGATTGTGCAGGGATGTGGAGCTATTGCTGGTGCCGAGACCATCATCATGACGATGATGTTTGGTAACTGCTATACTAGTCTGCTAGACCTGCCGAAGCCCTTCAGTCCGCCTTCAGCATCTCGGCACGTCGATTGCTGCCACGCCGTCGGTAATCTTGGCAGGTGCAAGGGTTTTTCGGATGCATGTCAGATACGGGATCTGCAGTCCATTCTCCTGGTCCACCGAAGTAGCCCTTCTTTGGAACTTGTCTTGCAATCATAATGGCCATATGCACTGCCGAAAGCCCGGCCCGGCCAGCTGGACCGTCCATCTTCTTGGTGAGCCTCATCCCTGAAAGACTTGTTTTCACTCATGTTGTCGCATTGATGGTTGCAGAAGCTGTTTAACAGGCTTCCGAGAAAAAGTTCATACAATTTGTACAACAACATAAAAGAGCAAGCAGCGTCTGCCACTGCCAGGTGCAGGTTCATACAAGTCACAAGCAGAATTGGCAACTCAGAGCGCATGCGGCGCAGCTGGCGAAGTATAAGAACGGCCCACTACGCTTGAGGAAGCAGAGCAGGCAGCAAGTGGGACGTTGCCTGGGGTGCTGTTAAGGAACTTAGATTAAGTTCCTACAATAAGGAAGCCATTTTCTTTGCTATATACCCAGACGATGGTAACTTAATTAAGTTTCTCAACAGCAACCCAGTTGCTGAAGGTGTGCGACCTTGGCTTAGAAGTTTCGGTGCCTTGCCGGCTAGGTTGGGAGGAGCTCTGAAGGATCCTGCCTGGGATATGGAAAAGAAATGGAAGCTACTACAATAATATATTATCATTATTATTATAGGGTATATTGGGGGTATATAAGGATAATGGAAAAGAAGGTGGGAACTACTATAATGGGGATATATGGGGATTATATTCATGGGACCATCAGCAAACACCCGCTTCGTTTTGTCCATATACCCCATATTCTATCTACTTGAGACGGACTACAATGGTTAACATATTTACCAAACATCCAAAACTCCTCCAACAATGATCCAGCGGCGCGTGGGCTTAAAGTACACCAGCAGATAGAGCTCTCCTGCCTGCGTCTTGGCTAGCTCGACCCGGCCAGAGATCTTGGAATACTGATCCTTGCCGCAACGGACTTTGATCCTGCGGAAGGGTCGAATGGTGTCTGCTTGTTGTCCTGAAGCTTCCAGCCATATGTGCCGTAGCATCTCAAGACCCTTTTCCAAAAAGACATCCGCCAAGTCCTTCCCGCACATGTGCGCGACCGTCAGCGATGCAGAAGCTACGCGCACGCCGTGCATGTCAATGTATAACAAGACGGTTCCATCTCCAGATGTTGCCTGGAAAGTGGACGCAGTGTTGTTGTCCTCACACTCAGACTCAGACGAGTCCGGCTCGGGAGTCATCAGACCTTTCCGCTCCACTTCCTGCCAGGATGGGAAAGGCTTCGGAGCTTCAAATTCATCTGTGGAGGCTTTCGTGCAGCTCTCCATGGCATCCATGGCCCTCTCTCCAGCCAAGGGAGTCTGGTCAGTGAAGTCCCGCAAACCTATCAGGTGGTGGACCTGGCCGTCTACCTTGCTGTATGCGACCTGAAACACTTCTGTCCGAAACTTGCTGGAGCAACTGTCCATGAGGCGCGTGTGAAAGGCATTCGCATGGATACTGGCTTCGTCTGAGCCAGCAGAGGTCTGCGATGCTGCAGAGCCAGCGCTTCCGCTTGACAAAATCTGATAAGCTCGCGCTGCTTCATGCTCTGTAGGCATCAGCTGGGTGAAAGTCATGCCCTTCACAGTGGATCCGGGCCTGTCCCTGAGCAACATGGCGGCCAACTGCGGAGAGTCCTCCGTAATCCGGAGATTGGCATCCAGCTCAATGATTGCATCGCAGGTCAGGTTCAACAGAGACGAAGCTGCTCCCAACTGGGCCGTTGTGTTTTTGTGTCGAGTTTCATGCCTGACTTTTTGGTGTAGAATTCCATCCAGAAGGAATGCCATGCTGATGGTCAAAATCAAACTCATCACTTCGCCACAAAGAAGTGTGTACAATGAATCAAAGAGGTCGCAGCCTGGCAAAGCCCATGTCTCGGTCATGGCACGCGCGAGGAGCAGAATACTTATTCCCAAATTGCATCCAATTACGAGAAAGGGTCTAGGGGCAAGCAGTATGCAAGCAAGCACTGCCATTGACGCGTTGAGCGCCTGGGCGGGCGTCACAGACCAAGGGGTGAGATACCCAGCACAAGATGTCATATGCAGGACGTACCAGAAGCCCATGGTGGATGTGGACACCACCAGTGGATTGAACAAAAAGGCCATGTTCACCACAGAAAGGGCCAAAGTCGTCCAGTACGACCCGGGTTGCAACCACCCATGCGTCGTCGCACTATAGCGCGCAGCCAGTAGAACAAATTGAGATACCACCACGCAACAGACCATGTAATAAGGAATCATCTGAACGCGCAGCTGGCGAACCTCCTCCAGCCTAACTAGCTCTTCTGCACTGCACTTGGATGCCTGCGGTCGCAAAGTGAATGCGCGCAGAGCTGCTGTGGCACTTTGAGCTTTGTTTTTGATGACTTGCCGATGCTCAAAGGCAAGGCAAAGGAGCTTGATAGCAAAAATAATCTCCACTGCAAGGGCCACAAGGGCGAACTCCCGAACGCCTCCATTGCTGCTTTCCATCTGGGTGCCTGCTACTTGGCTAGTTATGCCCTCTTTGGATTCAGCCTGATACGCAGGTGATGAGCATGGAGACGCATCCACCAAAGCACCTGGCCTATGAGCACTGGCATGTCTGTTCTTGCGCTGTTTGCTAGCATGGCAAGTTGCCAGGTCTTTTGGCCAATTTGGGGGTCTCTGGTGAAACCATACTGTGTTGGGGGGTAGTCGGGCGGACTACCATTTTGGGAAGCATTGTGCATTGCAGACGAGGCTCTGTAGATCACCAGGCCACAGCAAGCCCCAATAAGCAAAAGCACCACCAATGAAATGACCTGGGCATCACAAGGGGTGTAAGCGGCTGTATTGCCAAAATGAAGGCCCAATACGAATCAATTGGGGGCTGAAGAAGGGTCGTCGTCTCCTGAGGCCTCCCCACCCTTACACACAGGGCGTCTAGCTGCACATGCAGGAATGTGAACAAAGAAATAAAACTATGGTCTTACCGCATGCCCTGTCAGCACCAGCTCCTGGCAAATCTGCAAAAAGGATTGACGTCTGTCAGAGTCAACATCCTGATTGGAGCTGCGCCCCTGGCAGCAGCATGAATCATAATCTGTCACCCCACCAGGAAGAAAAATCACCCAACAAGAAGCAACTCCAGCATAGTACATATAGTACCAACACATGTTACTGATGTTTTTAGCCGGGCCGGACGTTTGAGCTTTGGGAGCAAAAGCCTAAAGCCCACACCCTACAATCTAAGAACTTAGCTTGTGGAGATCTTATTGCATCAGCCAGAACATTATTGTGTCTGTGGTCCCGCATGTCCCAGAGTGCGCCCGAAACTTATAACCCTATCTTGGAGGGTCAGGGGGGCTTAATAAGCGGGTAAATAATGGGGATAAGTGGGGTTACTATATGGGTTATCGGGGTTATCAAACTACTAAGTCCCCCTGACCCTCCAATTAGACCTTTTTTTTTTTTTTTTTGCGACCCTAGATCTTAAATCCGGAGCCCTATACAACCCTAAATCAAAGCCGTCCAATCCTAAGCCCTAATATAAAATACATTGGGTTTTGGATCTCTGTTCGTTGGCCAGTCCTAGGTCATTGCTAGGCTGTTATCTAAAGGGGGATAAGCTGTAACAAGGCAAGAACTCCGCTGCTGTCCAACCTCCAACACAAGTAAAACTTCTGTATCATTATACCCCCACCTGTACCTAATCCTGGATCCTAAAGCCTGAAGCCTGTGGAAGTGCATGTGGCCATGAAGAGCAGGGCGAGTACCGTTTTGCAAGCCCGAGAAATGGTTGTTGCGGTTGAGTGCTAGAGAGCACGGAGCGGGGGCGGGGGGTTGGGCCAAAGATAAGCTCAGTAGTGTTTAAGCATTCCATGGCTTCTGGCGAGGGTCAAAGGTACCGAGGAGAAACAGATCCATGAACGTACAGCAGATGGCAGCATAAACAGTGGGGTATCAGATGGAATGATCAAACAGATTGCCACGAATCCTGAACATCAAAATGCGAAAGTTCTGAACCCCCGTAAGCCCGGACGCCTAAACTCTCAGGTCAAGGCCCAGGGTAACCAAGGCTTGGCTTGACAAGCGCCGCTGTTACGGAAGTTCATGACGTGCAGGGCGATGCCTTCCAGGTGCTGATGATGGTGGTTGAGAGTGTGATGGCCGTGGCGGCGGTGGTCGTGGTAATTGTAGCAGGAGGAGAGTCATAACCAAGTGAAATGGCACTCTTGCCGGGAATGATAGTGACAGCCTTGATACGAAAAGATCGCGTTGGATTGGGGTAGCCACTTCATGTACTGTTGTACAAATCAACCCTCAACCCTGACTCCTCAGCCGGCACATCGCGAATCAGACTGGCCCTCTATATGTAACCCAAATATATACCCTAAATAATAGTTCCCTTTTTCTTCTCAATTATCCCCTATATAATACCTATATAATCCCAATAAAACAAGCGTTTCCATTTTCTTTGCCACTATCCCCCATATAACACTCATAATCCAAATGTAATATGGCAGTCTCCATTTTCTTTTCCACTATCCCCTATATAACCCTTATATAATCCCTATAGCAGGTCATGCGACACTGAAAAACAGGTCCTGCCTTGATGCGCGCCTTCTGCAAAGCGGCTCGGTGGGATGCGATAGTCGCACATGTTCTTAGCTGCACTTGAATAGTGTTTTTTTGGTGGTTGAACCCAGTAAGATTATATTCCTGACACCCCAAAAGGAGGATATAATCTTACTCTATATTGGGTACCACAGTATCCCCAATAAAATACTACGCACTTGGGTCTAGGGTTAAGGGTTCAGGGTTGTGTTTATGATGCTTATGTTAAAACGGGATGCTGTAGATTATAGGGGTTATATTGGGGATATAGAGGGATAATGGAAAAGAGACGGTATTTCGCACTTATGCAAGAGCAGAAGAACGCCCATAGCAGTGGTTGGAAGCTGTTTGTTGAGGTCCGCTGGGTATCTAGTAAGCAATACGGTTTCCATATTGTAGTAGCTTAATTCAAGTTCCTTAACAGCAACCCAGATCATCCGCATTTCAGTCGAGCAAAGGCTCAAAGCATGCTTGGCCGCTGGAGCTAGCACCAGCCACTACGCACATGCCCTGGCCGCTGGGGACCTTGAACTTGTGCAGGAGCTTGTCGCTGCAATGCTCGCCTGTCAATGCATAGGCACACTGGCATGCCCAGACCCCCAAAAGGATCTAAAAATTAGATCCCCTAGAACCATAGGGGGAATTATATGAGGATTATATAGGGGTTATAAAGGGTCTATATACGGGATCTAATTTTCAGATCCTCCCAGGGGTCTGGGTGAGGCCATCCCTGGAATGAGTAGTGTTTTTTTGGTGGGTAACCCAGTAAGATTCTATTCCTTATACAAAATACTCTACCCCAAAAGGAGGATAGAATCTTACGTCTATAATGGATATTATAGTATCCCCAAATAAAATACTGCTCGAATAAGGGTCCTCTGACAAAAGATCCAAACCTTGGGTTATTCCCTCTTAGAGTAAAAGTTACCACAAGGGGTAATAGGAATTATTAAAGCCCCTTACTAAGGCCCCCTTTAGGGACAGTTACTGGGAGGGGGAATGACCCAATCCAAACCCAAGGATTCAAAGAATCGGAGCCGCTGATTCGGAAACATCGCCCATCACTACCGGTGCAGAATAAGAGCTTCTCAAAATAGCGGTAAGCTTCAAACTCTAGGGATGTTTAGGAATATATATATATATAGGAACTGCAAGGAAGATTACGCGGGTCCACCCTAGAAATGTCCAATCTTACCTCTGGTTAGCTAGGTATGCAGGAATGGATCCTTATAGTAGTCCCCATATAACCCCTTGTAGTAATTTGCAGTTTTTTCCATTCCTTCATTCCCAGCTAACCACAGGCCAGTAAACCTAAACCCTAAACGGTAGTTTTCATTTTCTTTTCCATTTTCCCTAACCCCAATATAAGCCCAATATAACCACAGTATTACCCAAACATAACCCCAATATACCCACAGTATCATCTTCAGAAACTCCGACATACCGGCCTGGGGGGCACTTCTGCATGGAGTTCGCGAGTCCCAGCTCTCGCGGGCAGGACACATTGTTGTTGAGACCTTACAAGTCAAAGTAGGGGTACGCTTGGGATCACCGGAGATGGTAATAGGGGGGACCCCAATGTAGACCCCAAAATGCTATAATCCTCATTCCGGGGGCCCCAAACAAAGTACCCATAATTTTGGGGAACCCACATGTGGGAGCTTACAAACGGACATGGGGGTACGTACCAAGACTACCCCCTGCCTGCTCGAACTTGGGCCACCATCGCCTGAACACGGACTGAGCTTTGGCGGACGTCCCAGCGTTATGTAAAGGGATTGCTGCCGTTGCAGTTGTCATGATGCTGAATATTGCTATAACTGTGGCCCTGCCATTGCTAGTGGCTACCTATCCGTGTTTATTGCCATAATTGCGCTTACTACTGCTCGCCCTCCTCACTTCTACAACCAACACAAATACATCAAGCACATTAGACAGAAGGCTCAAAGCTGTACTTTGCATGAGCCGAAGAGCCATAGTATAAACCCCTAGTATCCTCCTTAGTCCCGTATATAATTCCGTATAAACACCTTTCAGGAGTTTAAACCCTTCTGCACCAGGCTGCTGTGTACTTCGCCCAGAGTCGGCTCCCACTGCAGCTTAAGGAGTTTAGACGCTAAACGCTAAACCCTATATAATCCCTATAGCCCCCCTTTAAAAAGTTTTGACCCTGAACCCTACATAACACCCTATATAAGCCCCCTTTAACCCAGACCCCCTAAAGGATCCAAAAAATAGAACCCCCCAATATGAACCCATTACTACATTGCGGAAACTAGGGCATTGTGCGGGGACTCCATTTTTTGGGATCGTTTAGGGGGTCTGGGAAGAAGTTTAAACTCCAAACCCTAATCCATAAACCTTAAACCAAAACCCCTGAACCCTTACACCCTATAAAATCTCCCTTTAAGGAGTTTAGAAAATGGCTCACATGGCCTGGGAGATGTGGTTCGCCAGATCCGCCCCGCCGTTTCCGTTCACGGTATAGTCTTGAGGCTGATGGTCCCTGGGCTGCTTACTGCTGTTTCCATTTTCTTTTCCATTATACTTTGGGATAATGGAAAATCAAATGGATGCTACTATAGTATAATGGGGTATTGTAGGGTTTAGGGTTTAGGGTTTATCGCTTAAGGTTTAGGATTTAGGGTTTAGGCTTTGGGATTTAGGCTGTAGAATTTAGGTTTTGGATTTATCGCCTAGGGTTTAGGATTTAAGGTTTAGGATTTAAGGTTGGGCTGCTTACTGCTTGGGGGGTCAGGGGGACTTAGTAAGTCGGTGAATAATGGGGGCAAGTGGGGTTACTATATGTGTTGTAGGGGTTATCAACCTACTTACTAAGTCCATCTGATCCTCCAAGTGGTGCCTAAAAGGGGCGGGTTTACGGTTTAGGTTTAAGTTGGGGGAGCGAAAATGCATGCCACTACAGGCCTTGACAGGTCAGGGGTATATGGAATGGGGATTGTATAGGGTGTATGATTTAAATCATCGGGATCCCTTCCTCCACTCTCCCTTAAGCACCAGTAACGGGCTGGCGTTGTCGCGCGAACGCGAGACCTCTTGCTTAATTGAATGTAAAATCGAGCTTGTCCTAGTTTCCAAATTATTTTGCATTTTGTTGGGTAACATTTCCCACATATCGCCCATATAACCCATTTGAGCATACGCTCATAAGCTGCAAGACGCTGCAAGACTTGGCGCTGCGATGCGCTTCACACTATCAGCGCTCCAAAGCCTTGCCGACAAAGTGCGGGTTGCACACGTCATAACCTCAGACAGGCTTCAGGATAGAATCCCTTTAAGCATTCGACTTGAAAGCTGTGGAGCTATGCCATACCCCACTATAATATAATAGTCTCCATTTTCATTTCTATTATCCCTATATAACCCCAATATAATATAGTAGTTCCATTTTCTTTATCCCTATATAACCCCTATATAATTTAGTAGTTTCCATAGCCACCAGGGAGCAAACTGAACCAGGGCCCTCCTGGTCAGGCGACATGGCCACGGTGGATACGCAAAAGCCGCGGTTGGGGAAATCGCCTTGTAGCTGGCAAGACCTCGGCATCTTCACTGAGAGCCAATCTTGCAAATGCTGCTAGGTTGTATTGGATGGTAGCTGCGACATCTCATCGCAATAGAAGCATCCAGAGTTCTTGTAAGCAGTCCTTTTTACACAACACTTCGCTGTGCTGCTTAAATCTGCTCCAAACCCCTCCTACCATTGCTACAGCTAATTGCTGCTTGCCGCTTCTACTGTGAAAGCTACCTGCAGCTACTGCGAAATCGCACAGCTCTGGAACAGTTGGCACCAGCGCACAATGGCACCGCGCTACCACCCCAAAGTTCTTTGCGGAAGTTCTGGCCAAGGCGCTTCATTGTGATGCATTGCCCGCGAACGTCCGGGCTGTAGAGATGCGTCACAGACGGAGTGCTGGTCGTTTCTGCACAAGCAGTAAGTGTTCAATGGTAGTGCAATCAAGGCCCTAAGTAGGACGGCAGAGTAAACCTTCAGCCCCGGTAGAACCTTATTATGCAATTATCTGGTCAATACTTCTCGGACTCACAGTGCAGTAGCTATCAGCGCATGTCATCTTGACCTGAAATTCGATGATTCACTTAAGGCCACGCGCAGGTTGTTGCCAGCCTTGTCCTCTGGTCGACAGAGCTAGCGCCAAGATCCACAACACTTGCCTAGGTGCAAGTTCGGCCCTTGCCAGGCTTTGGGGTGGCTCGGAGTACTCGTGCAAGGCGTGAGCATGCAAGATTAGCTGCCATTTCTGCTCTTGCAAGCATCCTGAAAAGTTGAAATTGCTTGCCCTTTTTTACAGCCTCCAAATGGGTTTCCAAATGGTGGTTTCCATAAATGCGGCGACCCCACTCTAGAATCCAAAAGACTATGATCCTCATGATAGGCCCCCAAAGAGGGGCCCCTAACCTTGGGCAACCCCATAGAGTCCCAGGTACCACTGCCTGGGACGCAGCTTCCAAGCGTCGTTCATGTCTCTACCTCAGCCCTTGGTGCAGTCCGCAACTGCTTCCAGCTTGAGCTGCGGCAGCGGCAGGCGTCGGAGCACAGTCGCATCTACAGGTAAGCTTTCAAAAAAAATGAGCTTCATGGATGGGCAGGGGCCCAACATTGCGTGATACCCGATCCTTACTCAGAAATCAGGAATGGAGGTTTTCCGGAATTAGGTACAATTTCGTGGGGTCCCTGCAATAAGGATTGTAGCATTCTCGGGTCTATATTGAAAGAAACAGTAGCCCCCGCGGCCTCCACATTCAATCGTGTGATTTGTTTGGCAGGTAAAATCCTGGATTGCTTTGCGGACACATCTTGTTGGACCCTGTGGCTGTAACCCTATTTGCCTGCAGCTTAGTGCTGTCAAGGCACGATGTACCAGGTTCCTAAACTTAAGGTTCACTGAATCACAGCTAAGCCCAGCGAGGCACTATGCACTAAGAATTCAAATAAGCCTTCAGCGCTGCTGCCACTGCCAAAGGCAACTGCGCCATGTCGCGTCGAAGAGCTGCCAAAGCTTCACCCTGGTCCAAGTAAGCCGTACTGGGGGTTTGTAGGGAATAAGGAAATATCATATATATATACATGTATAATATATATATAGGGTACAGGGTTGAGGCTTTAGGGCCAATAGGGAATAAGAGAATGTGTTTTATACGGATTATATTCCCATGTTCCCTACTAAGCACCAGTAAGTAGTGGAGGAGGCCTTCAAAGCAATCCGATGGAGCTATCTCGCGATTCATATAGGAGTGTCTTAGGAGTACGTATATGAAGATATCTAGGCCTTTGGGCGTTTGGGTTTAGGGTTTAGGTGCATGATCCTAAGTAGCACGTACCTTGGAAATTATGGTGCCCTTGTATAGCTCTACAACCATGGGGGAAATGATTAGTGATCCCCAAGCGCCACCCGGGATAGAGTCATTAATCAAGTTTTAGGCTGCTGCTCAGAATTTGACTTTGAGGAGGGTGTGGGCTTGAGGAAAGGGCTTGGCGGGACCCTAAACCTAGCCTAAGTCATTTAGTCCCCCCTTAAGTAGATAGGATATGGCTTTGGGTATATTATAATCAGATCCCCAATATACCTCACATGCTATCTACTCAAGGGGGGACTATTGACTATAAATCCTAAAAGTTTGGTTTCGTGGTTGAAGTCTCAGTCCACAAGTTCTGGGATCTAGGGTCCAGGGTCAGAAGGTGGGTTGGTCACTCTGCCAGCTGGGGTGTAAGCCCGAAACCTGAAACAATAACACCCTGAACCCCACAAAACGGACCCTAACAAAACAATGCAGCCCAAGACACCAAAACAGAGACCCCCGAAGCCTGGAACAATAAAAGCCCTACACTCCAACAATGAAAGCCTAAGCAATAGAAGCCTTATCTTAGGTCAATCCCCATTTCACTAATGGCCCCTACATATGAGTTTAATCTTAAGGCCTACAATAGTCCTTTGTGGTACCCATTACTAGGTGAGGGATCGACCCAACCCCTTAACCTTAAACAATAGAGACCCTACGTCAAGCCCAGGCTGTAGGTTTATCATCCTCCTCGGCTGCAGACAATGGAAATCCTGCACTACCCTAATTAGATACCTTATCCCCTAACTAAGAGCTGTTGCGTTTTTGAGATTAGGGCTTAGGGATGCTTACGGTATTCCGAGATGGTGCAAAAGTTCCCCCCCCCACCAAGCATGTGACAGTTTGCCCAAGAAGCTGCGATCTTAAGGATAACGGTGGGGTTAAACGGATTTCTTGAGGGAATGTTGTCGACCTGAAGCCTCAAGCCCCACACCCTAACCAAACTTGTTAACCCCAACCCTAGTCCCTAAACCAGTCCCTAAACCAAAAAAACCAAAACACACAAGCCGCAATCCCCAAACCCTAATCCCTAAAACCCTAAGTCCTAAACCCTAAACCCTAAACCCTGAAACCCTAAACCCTAAACCCTAAACTCCAAACCCTAAAATCCTATTACCTAACTCCAGGGCACCACCTAAACGTAAAGAAGGCCTGCGCATCCGTGGCAGGATTCCAAGCCTGGTTTCGCATGATCTGAAGTTGAGGGTTAAGGGTTTAAGGATTAGGGTTTAGGGTTTAGGGATTAGGGATTACAGTTTTGGGTTTGGGGTTTAGGGTTTAGGGTTTAGGGATTAGGGTTTAGGGATGAGGGTTTAGGGATTAGGCTTCGGGGCCTATATTGGAGTGTATAGGGCGCAGGATCATGGAGGCTCCATGGAAAGTCAATGAAAACTGAAATGGAATCTCTGGTTATTTAGGTGTTCATATGGATTCGGGTTTAAGGATCAGGGTTTGGGGATAAGGGCTAAGGGTTGAACATGGGGGTGGGGCATAAAGGGACCGTGAGGGGATTCTGGGGGTCCTTCTTACAAAGTATATAAGGGTTGTTGTGGGGAATGCCGCATGGCGGCTTGCTCCCAAAGAGTTCGTGGGGTTCAGCTTATGGTTTAGGGTTTGGGATTTCGGGTTTGGGGCTCAGGTTTAGAGATTGGGGCTATGGTTTTAGGATTTGGGTTTGGGGTTGGGGATTCGGGCTTGGGTGTAGGGATTAGGGTTAAGGGCTGGGCTTAGGATTTAGAAATTAGGTTTCAGGGATAAAGGATCGCGTGGCCTCCCCACTTGAGGCCCCGCTTGCGAAGCTTGTGGTAACCGTGCTTTCTGGTGGTGTTGTTGGCTGCTTTGCTCTTGGGCACCCGCAGGCCGCTTCAATAACTGGCTCCCGTCATTCGCAACCAGACGCTTTCTTGCATTTGTGCCTCTTCTTACTGGTCGCCCTTCGTTATTCTTTCATAGGAACTATAGAGGGATTGCTTCAGGTAATGCCCATGTGGGGACTCTTGCTGGAGGCTTTGGGGTTTCAGGGCTTGAGGTTCAGGGATTATAAGCTTAGGGATTATTCAGGGGAGCGGGGGTTCGGCTTAGGGATTCACAGGGTTTCGGATTTGGGGTATGGGCACTTAGGGTTCAGGGTTGAGGCTTTAAGGTGCAGGGTTCGGGGATTAGGAGTTGCTGCCTTTAGGGTCTGAGCAGGAGGGCGGCTTTCACGGGGGAGGAGTGCCTGGGAACCCTAAACCCCATATATGGGGGATTGTGGGATTGTAGGGAGGTTGTGGAGATCCCCCCTGAGGGTTCCACAAGGCCCAAGAGCTCGAGATGGATTTCTGGATGCAGGGGTCGCCCCTTCTGCCACCCCAGGAACGCCAGCGCAGTTTAGGGTTTCGGGTTTAGGGTTGTGGCCTAAATGATAACAACACCGGTGCCGATGTAGAGAAAATTCCGAAACCCTCAACGCTAAACCCTCAACCCTCAACAGTGTATTATGCGATTATATACTGTCCTTTTCAAGAACCATACTTAAGCCTGGGGCCCCGATGTACCAAGTACGCACCCTACACATACAAATAGAGGTGTATGTGCAGATGGGCTACAGGCCCAGAATATGAAGTGACCCCTTGCTCCCTTGTTCCAACCCGAGACCCTTGCTTAACTCTTGACACTGAAAACCCTAAATCTTACATATCCCTAAATACCCTTACATAATCATATAACCCTATATAAAACCTAAATAAGCCTATATGACCCTATGTATTCCCATGTATTCCCTCAACCCTAAACCCTAAACCCTGTAAGGCCCGAGCTGGGTCGACAATAACCACGCGGTCAGCGGCCGTCAAATTCAAGCCAACGCCGCCCACCGCAGTGGTGAGAAGCATGCACCTAGTTGGTAAAGGTTTTGATGTAGGGGTGAGAAGGGCTGGCTTAGAGTTCAGGGTACTTGGGGTTTTAAGGCTTGGGGTTAGGAAGGATGGTTCGGGGTTTGGGGTGGTAAGGGTCAAGGTTTAGGGTGCAGGGTGCCGACGTCATTTACTCGGTTGAGCTCAGTGGCGATGACCCTGAACCCTAAACCCTAAACCCTAAACCCTTCAGGGTTGGCAGTGGCTGAAAAGGAACTGGAGGCTTTATCAAGACTAAGCCTGCAAGCTACCCTGGGTTTCTGGGACCTGCACTGTGAGAGGCAACT